ATCGTCGCCGTGATGACAAGCTCTTCGCCGCGGCCAAGCGACTCGGTCGACGCACCGGCCGTGCGGCCCTTGGCCAGCACGGCGTCGGTGAACGCCTTGCCGATCGCACCCGTGAGACGCGACGCTGACTCGGCGCCGTTGATCTGCACCGAGACGCGGTTGAGGTTGATGGCCTGGACCGCCGACCCGAGCGAGATGGTCGACGGGTACGGCCAGAGGCTACCGGCACCGCACGTCATTTCGCACATGCGGAGGCCGAGGGCGCCGGGGGTGACGCCGCGCTCCGCAATCGGCGACTGGACGCAGACGCCGTCGACGCACTTGTACGTGTGCTTGGGGATCTCGAACGCGGTCGCGAGACCGGCAACCGCGAGGAGCGAGGCGTAAATCTTCATGGCGTGCTGGTGTCGAGCAGAGCAAATTGGAATGTGAGCTCACCGCCACCATCGGACGGCCCGACTTCAAGAGTTGCAATTGGGGTGGCTTTTCTCGAACCAGTTTCGGCAGCGACAGCCAAGATGTGGTGCCATCAAGAAAACATCGCCCGATTCGAATCCCATCTGCATTGAAGTTGGCACGTACTACACCCGTGGACGTGGCGTCACCGTACGACGGTATGCCCCGGCACTGCAGCTTGCGTCCAACTACATTGCTATATAGATAAGGACAAAGCGCTTAGTCGCCAGTGATCAATGACTCGTGGCGGCGACAACTTGTTTCATTTGAATGGCTTGCTGGTAGGTTGCACTTTTGGCCTTTTCAAGCGCATTGTTGCTGGTATTACCGTACGTACAATCCTTTGACGCGGTTGGTCTGAGTTGGTTCAGTGCGTCCATCAACGTGCACCTCTCGTGGTTCGCAGACAACGCTTCTCGGTTGCCGCCAAAACATACGGTGACCAAGAGTGGACGCGTGACGCGTGCGGTGGCCAAGCGACGGATGCATTTAATCCATTGTTTCTCCACTACACTGCGAGATAATGCCATGGCTTTCGTCACCTGCTCCGCCACAAACCCTCCAAGTTACAGATATTCCGTGTTGACCTCCTCGAGCGCTCCGACGACGATGTTGGCGTTGTGAGCGGCATGAGTGCATCAGAAATCGACATCGCAAATGAAATAAAGCGTCCTCGGTTCACCACTTATTGTCGCGCCGCAGCTTCACTGACAAGCTGCTTGGGTCGTCGCATAGAGCCTGATCGTGCGCCGCCAGCGTTGGATGTCGACGGTCGCCATCTTACAACGCAAGACGCTCGAGGCTACCAAGATACTCTTTCTCAGAGGCGATGGAAAGGATCGCGGCGGCAACTTCCGGGGACGCCTCCCGTGGTAGACGTCGCACCCCATCATCACACCCCTCTTGGCATCTAATCCTGGTCGGCCGCGACGAGGCCGGGTTCGATCACCTTTGCCCTCGCAGCTGGCCCTATCTGTGACGGCGTCTTGCGATAGCTCGCCACTTCATCCACGTCAGCAATGAGGCGCAACGATGCAACGCAAAGCTGTAGATGCAGTAAACAAAATGGCATACCGGTATGTAGCTGCTCTGTAAGTGCGACTAGGGGAGGAGAGTGCACTCGCCCGGGTGGAGGCGGCACCAGTGCGGTTGGATCGCGTCGGCCTGCAACCCCATCTCGACGAGGCGGTCGCGCTGGATGCGGAGGCGGTCGATCGCGTCCTTCCAGGTCGTTGCGTTTCTCGGGTTGGTCCACCAGCGCTCGGCCGCCGCCGCCGCGCGTGGCCAGATCTTGGCGTCCATGGTCGCCTCGTCGACTTCTTCCGACCAGAGCGCGACTACACACGACACTCTCAATCTGCGCAGAAGAGAGAGAGCGCACCTTCGCCGCCGAGGACGAGCCGCCGCTGGGACACTGGCACATGCTGGACCAAGTCCAGGTCGTAAAGCACACTCCAGTGGTGGTACGGGTGGCACCAGTCATCGCCCTTTCTGAGCCAGTTGCCAAAACCGCAGTCGAGGTAGTATGCGTCGTAGTAGGACGCAACGACTTCGTAGCCTTGGGCAGTCAACTTGGCCGCATCGCCTGCGTTCGAGCGCGTCCACATCTGGACAATCGTATTCCCAGGCTCAAAGTACGAGCGCAGATACGGGGCATTGGTGAGGTCGCTTGTCCAAATGGCAATCTTCTTGTGCGCGTCCACCAGCGACCGGGCTCGTTTCTGAAACGCGCCCCAGATGTGGTAAAAGGCGTCGGGCGACCGATCCGAACTCATGTGGTCCGTCACGGCTTTGGTCATGTTCCAGCAGCCGAGATGCACTTCGTCGCCGCCCATGTGAAACACGTCGGCATCAAAGAGTCCGTGAAGCTCCGAGTAGACCCTACCCCCAATACGCGTCAAGACGGTTTCAAACGCATCGTAGCCGTACGTTTTCAAAATGTCGTAGACGTGGTCGTTGAACGGGTTGAGCTGGCCGCACGGCGGCTCCACGCACGCGTCGTACCACGGGTTGTGGCCAAAGCACACGCCGAGTTCGCCGAGACCGGCATCGACGCCCCACTGCCACCCCGCGCCAGCATGCGACGGCGCGTCGACTTCAGGAATCACGCGGACGCCGCGGGCTTTGGCTAGACTCACGCAACATATGACCTCAAGCCAGCAGAGAATGCAGGCGCACCGTAGGCCACGAGCTCGCGGATGGCGGGTTGCGTATAAATCTGTCGCGGGTGGAGGGCGCCGTACGAAGTAAGCCGCGGCTCGCCTACCGTCCGTTCTCGTTGGTTTCGATGAACTAGCAAACACCGAGTGTACCCTTGATCTCGACGGGAAAGCTCGCCGTATCGGTAAAGTGCCAGTGGAATGTATTGAGCTTGGTCGCCCCCATACCGTCGAGGAGCCGGCGAATCGCGGCCACCGAGTAGTACTGCCGGCTCGTGTCCAGCACGACGCCGCGGTGGCGGTAGGCGGGTCCGTCAATGATGCTCGCGCTTGACGCCATGTGCATAGCGTGCGACAGCTCATCGTACTCGATGAGCTGCGTCAGCGTCACGAGTGCGTGGCGGTAGCCGTAGATCGTGGCCGCCGTGATGACCGCCGTGCCATTCCCGATGCGCAGCGTATACGACTCGTCCGTCTCGAGCGACAGCGTCTACACGTCGACATGAGGTTCGTACTGTCAACGTCGTGAGCTGCACCTCGGACGCGGAGGCGATCGCCGCGTCGACAACGAGCCCGACGCTGTCGACGGCCACAAATGCGCACTCGGTGGCCTTGAGCGCGAGCGCGTTGTCAAAGATCTGCTGCATGCCGCGCACGAGGTGCGACGGCACTGCGTCGCCCGCGCCAAACGACACGCTGTGCTGGACATCGTCAACACTCACGGCCATCGTTGTCGCCGCGATCGCCGAAGACGTGGGTTGCGGCCAGAGGTTCCCGGCGCCGCACGTCATTTCGCAGAGGCGGAGGCTCGTGTGGCTTGCTTGGTGCGTCAGCGTGCGCGGCTGGGGCACGCAGCGACGGTTCTCGCAGGCGTACGTCGTGTAGGGCACCTGCAGCGCCGCGCCGAGGCTGCACAGCATCGCCACCGCCAGCACGCGCATCGTCCTTGTCGAAATTGAGATCTTGACTTTGCCCTTTTCGCTGATTTTTAGCCAATGGCATCGCGCAACCAGCGTCAACGTGCCACGCAGCAGCGGCGAGCCTTCCGTCAATGCGCCGTCCTTCTTGCCACCCGCCGAGTGCTAGCGAATCGGCCTCTCGTAGCATTCGCCTCTTTGCTGCATTCTAGCAGTGCATGCCCCTTCTTGACCTTCGACATGGCAAGACATGGCATGGTGCGCCAGATCTGCTCGGGAGCTATAGGGTTGCAGCACGCGTCCGCCTGTCGCCTGCACCCATGGATGCCCAGATGCACATCAAGGAATGGTTCAGCGAGCTGGTTGATAGGGAATCCATGCGCCATCCACGAGCACGGACCGCCCATCGCACTGGGCGTGGGGCTCTGCGTCCCCGTACCGCCGGTTCACTTGAAAACACCACTGTACGCTTCATTAACGTAGTGTGATAAATAGGTGTCTCATTGCATCCTTATAGGAGGACGAGGACCGCGGTCATATTGTCGACCGCCCGCTTGAGGCGGCAGACCTCGAGCAGTTCGCGGCAGACGTCGTCGGGACTTAAGTCGCACTCGAGCAGCCCGCGCCGCACGTAGCGCACCATGTCGTCGTCCGTCAAGACATCGGTGACGCCGTCGCTGACGAGCAGCAGAAAGGCCGCGGTTCGATCCCGCGGCCGCGCAATGCACGCAATATGCGGCGTCGGGATGATGAGGTCTTTTTCGTTGTTTTGGCCAAAGGCTCGCGTGACGCGGCTCACACCGCTCACGCGCTGGTTCAAGATGATGCCTTGCTGGTGCTTGATGCGGTCGGTCTCGACGGTGTTGCGCACATGGTGGTCGGCCGAGAGCCGCTGCGTCCGCATCCCGTCAAAGAAGATGCAGTGCGAGTCGCCGCTGTTGGCCACGTAGCACTCGGTCGGCAGCACGACGCAGACGACGGCCGTGGACCCACACGCGTCGGCCTCTTCCATCTCTTCGAGGCCCGTATCGACAGCCGTGAAGCTCTCGCAAAGTACGCTGGACACGCTTGCGCTGGGGTCGGCAAGGAAGCGCGACTGGACGGCCGCATGGAGATTGCGGGCGAGGTGCTTGGAGACAAAGCCGCCGCCGTGGCCGTCATAAACGCCAAAGAAGGCGCCACTCTCGCCACCGGGGCCGACGATGGATGGCAGCAGCACGCACTCGTCTTCCATGCTCGCCTTGAGCTGCTTGTTCTGGAACGCAGCCGCGCCAAACAAGAGGTGGCTCACGCGTGATGCGCGCATGGCTTGGATCGCAATCATGTCTTCCTGCTCGAGGTACCTCGCATCTTGCCTGGCGGGGTCGCGTGGCGAGAGGAGGCTCGTGAGCTCGGTTGGTGGCGGCTGGTCGGTCGACGCACGCACAGTCTTGAAGCTGGACGAGGCCACTGAGCCAGCACTCGACGTCATCTTCTTGGCGGGTCGGCGCATGGCGGGCGTCGCCTGCCAGCGCTCCATCGGCGCGGCCCTGGACACCTCGGACAAGCACGCGCCCATGGCAATTGGCACCAGCGATGCATGGCTCACGGCCAACTTGATTCTTTTCTGACTCCCTTCAAGTGCAACTCCATATGGTGGCATATGCCATGTCTAAAATCACCATGTCTTGTATATGCCACATATAAGCCCAGAAATGCCGCATTTAAGTCGCGTCGTGCCGAGTTGGAGCCAACGACGCCACAACACCATCCACATGAACATCAACCACGAACGCCAGTGTCCTCACGGTGCTTCGTTCGACGCCACGAAGGACTGATGGTGTCGGTACAGAAGGCACATCGGAAAACGACGTAGAGAATATATATATATTTATCAACTAATGTTAGCAGTGCATCTTCCTTCGCTTAGAAGAAGTGGGCAATGGAACCGCGCTACATGGCCGCTCCGGCAGCGTCTGCCATGCATTTCAACGACAGACAGCAGCGTGGTATAACGCATCCATACCAGTAGCGTTCCAAGTAGCCCATTACTGCATCCTCAATAGCATGGAGCATGGAGGCGCACCCACCGCCTACAACATCCGCCCGCGGTGGGAAATTGGATTCGGCATGTGCCGCAACTAGCGGTAAATCCAGTCGATGCACCCACGCTTGTGGCAAGCCTCGTCTGTCAATCACGTCGCGCTGCGTCAACTTCGTCCCGTCACAAACGACTACGTAGGCAGCGCGCCTACTAACTAACTAAGAACGATTCCAACAGCATCGCCACAAGCACGAAAAGGAAGGTTCTTCTGATGCATCTTCTTAGATATATACACACGCGACATGGCCTACTCGTCGTCCGTCTTGAGCTTCTTGGGCGCCGCCTCGCCGTCCTCGTCCGCGTCCTCGTCCGCGTCCTCGTCCTCGTCGGCCGTCGGCACCGGCCGCTTCTTGGTCGTCGGCTCCATGTCCGCCATGTCATCGTCGTCGTCGCCGGCCGTCGAGTCGGCATCGTTGCCGCTCTCGTCGTCCATCATGTCGTCGTCCTCTTCCGTCTTGATGGGGCTCGTGGGCACCGGCGTCGCAACCGGCGTCTCGGGCGGCGACGAGTCCTCTTCGTTCGTGCCGTCGTCCTGCTTGGCGTTCTCGTCGCCGTCGATCATCGTGCCGAGGTATTCGAGCGTCAGCGTCGGCTCGACGAGCCACTTGTTGGGCTCGGCCTTCGTCCGGGGCGACGGCGCCCAGAGGTGCGACGCACCACTCGCGGCCGCATCCGCCTTCTTCTCGAGCGGCGTGCGGCGGAGCACGCCCGGGTGGAACTTGAGGCAGTACGCGCCTTCGCCGTCGCGCTCGTAGAGGGCCTTGGCCTGCGTAAAGTACGCGTCGGTCGACGCATGCTCGTTGGCGAAGAGCGCTTGGAGCTCCGTGCACGTCTCGTCGTTGGCCATGTGCTGCATCTGCTTGAGCAAGTGCTGCACGAGCTTGTCGAGCGTAAACAAAAAGTACGAGCTCGAGCCCATGAGGCTCCGGCAGCAGTCCTCGTACCGCGTGTTGTCGATCGAGTTGTCGAGGAGCGCGTAGAGCTTGGAGAGGAACGCAGAGTAGTCGCCCGTCATCTCGGGCGCCTCGTTCGTAATGTGGTGCGCGTGGGCGAGCGCACGGGCCGCCGGGTTGATCGTGCGCCGGTTGCGGTTGCGCTTCGCCTTCTCGCAGAGCTCCCGCGCTTGCTCGAGACGCGAGTGCAGCAGCTGGTACAGCCGCAGAAACACATACGCCGTGTCGTTGCCGTAAAACACAGAGCACGACGCGTCCAGGTTCGCCGCCTCGTCGGCCACGTGGATGTTGGGCGGAAAGTCGCCGACCTCCGTGACGCTCAGCGCGTCACTGTGCACGTACGCCGTCCCGATCGGCAGCGTGACGGTCGCGATGCTGCGCGCCTACAAGACGACGACGACGACGACGTGAGTGCATATATCGCACAGACGATACGACGACGTACAGCGTCAAAGGCTTGGACGACGCCTTCGCCAAAGTCGGTGACGACCTCGGTGCCGACGCGGACGCCGTTGGTCGAGTCGACCGTCACGTTGGCCAGCACGGGCTTGCGCTACGATGGCATTTGCATGAGCGACCGACGATTCAGTGCTCCTGTACCTGGAGCCACGCCTCGTCGAGGTTGAAGAACGGGCAAAAGAACGCGTGCCAGAGCTTCGAGACCTTTTCCTTCTCCGAGACCGAGAGGTTCTTCTCGGCCGCGTACGTGAGGAGCCCGAACGCGTCCTTGTGGATCTTGGCCGCCGGCATCGTCAGCGTCTCGACCGTTTTCGTCTCGAGCGTCTTCTTGGCGTGCGCGAGCAAGGCCTTGGCGCTCGTCGCCTTCTTGTCTTTTTGCTTAAAGTAGAACGACGAGTGGTCGAGCGACTTGTGGTAGTTCTTCTCGTTCACGTCCTTCCACTGCTTGTTGAGGTCCTGCCGCGCGCGGCGCCACTCTTCATCTTTCTGCAAGAGCCGCTTGAGGATCACGGGAATCGCACCGGCCGGGTGCTTGCGGAGCAGCTCCAGAATCTGGTGCCCGGCCTCGCCATAAATGCGCGTGATCGCGTTGAGGTGCGTCACCCGCAGCGCGCCCTTGTCGAGCACGTACTGCCAGCCCGTCGGGGACGTGGCTGAAAGCGTCTCGATTTCCTTGGCGAGCGGCGTGAGAATTGCAATCGTCGACGCGTTGGCGTCAATGACCATGTCGATCTCGAAGCGCTCGTCCTCGCACTTGAAAAGTGCTTCTTCGTACTGGTTCTTGCGCATGTTCTTGAACGAAAAGTCTTCCGAGCCTGTCGGGACGCTCACCCACGCGTCGTTGCACACGGCGCGTTCCATCTTGGAGCGCGACGACGACGGCGGGATCGGGTAGCTCGACGGCAGCGCGCGGTAGCTCGGCGTCGCGCGCCGGCACTGGCTCAAGTCCGTCTCGGCCAGCGGGATGAACGGCCAGATCTCGTGCTGGTCCTTGACTTCGCCGTGCGTGTGGAGGAGCTGCGTAAACTCGGCGACGACGTCCGTGTGGCGCCCGAGGAGGTTCTTGACGAGCACGATCATGTCGTCGCGGCCGACAATCTCTTGGCTGTAGAGCTCGAGGCACTTGAGAAACTCGCGCCAATTGTCGCGGGACGGAAGACACTTTTGATCTTTCGAAAATGCTCCACTCCTCCTTGTCGATGAGCGTGTTGCTGACGGCGAGGAGCTCGCGGCGCTCCTTGACGTCGCCCTTGTTGGCCTGCTTGCGCTTGAGCGCGTACGCCGCTTTGTTGCGGTCGCGCGCGCTGTCTTTCTCTTTGGCTTTCTCGGCCTTCTTCGGGCTCGAGACCGGCAGCGGCGACTCCTTCTTGTCCTTCTTCTTGCTGACCTTGCGTTCCTTGGTGCCCGACGTCATTTGCAGCTTGAGTTGGCGCGCCTGCGCGCGCTCCGCCGCCTTGTGCAGCCGGTCGCGCGCTTGGTCCTGGACCGCGTCCGGCAGGAAAAACGTAAACTCGCGCAGCAAGTCGGGGTGGTCGCGGAAGAGGTAGCTCACTTGGTCGAGCACTTGCTTGATCGAGCCTTGCTCCTTCTGGTACGTGTGCAGGATCTCAAGGAACGCCTTGTACGTCTCGGGCTCGTCCGCAAACCGCTTCTTGATCGTCGTCACGTACGAGATCGCGTGGTCAAACTCGACGGGCT